CATTCCCTAATGTTGTTTGCCGTTTGATGGACTTCAAAATATTCGAGGGTTCTCTGCGGTATTATTTGGACAACACATCAGTAGTGAATTTTATTGCACCTGATCTCTTCGAAAACATCTTTCGTAGAGTCTAAAGCTCTGTGAATAAGCATGTGCCAAAACTACGGAAGGGAGATCAGAAAACTTGAAAGGAATTGAAAAGAAAGACGCTGGTCTTCCAAATTATAATGGCGGACAATCAAGTCCGTAATTCAACGGTACAGATCATGAACATGAGGAAAAATTTAAATTTGGACTGAGCATTTTGTGAAAAGATGGGGTCTATCAAATAATTAAATTTAAAAAAGCGTTCCATTTTTAAAATTATGATTTCTCAAAGTAATGCGGACTCTTTCAAACAATAACTTCGAATGAGATTCACCGAACAAATTTCCCGCTGTTGTACTTTTTAAGAGTTGTGCTACAGTATTTTGTTCTCGCAGGACTTATTTTCCAAAGGATAAAAGAAAAAAGCAATGGTCTTTGTATACCTCATTGCCAATTATTAAAAAAAAAAAACGTCCAGACGATTAGGTGAGAAATTTGCCTCAGAAAAAATGGAACTTCTCTTTCGTGCGCTTTGATCAGAGGTTGTTTGAGTCCGTGTCTATGCAAGAATACTGTACGATTAAATATAGAACCCGATTTTCGGCGACCTTTCCACTCGATTTCCGCTCGCAGCCCTACGTGAAAGATTTCTCGAAAGCCCTGGAAATCCGGCTGAAGTTTGAGCAGATCCCGCGGCCAGCGTATGTTGGAAAGCAGGTAGACGAATCTCGCCCACTTTGGATCAAATACACAAATTTTCCCATCAACTCTGCTGGGTCCGGAAACGACCGAATCGCAGGAGGAACAAGTCAGAATAAAGCTGCAGAAGGTATGCATATTTTTGCAGCATTTTCGCACGATTTTTTTTATACCAAAGCCTAATTTTTGAATGATCGCTGCTCTGGACTTGCTAGATTGAACCGATGTAAGATAAAATTTAAAATCGAAAATATCCATTTTTTTAGCTGATTTCAGTATTACAAGTACTAGGTGTAAGTGTTTTAGCTCGCTGCAGTATCTGAGTCAGAACAGATTTTTGATATGATGCTGAAAACAATTTCGAGATAGGGAAGAAACAGCGAATGCAAGAGGTGTTCCAATGAGCAGAAATCCATCATGAAGGACACACAAACTGATCTTGCGATAACTCAAATTCAGCTGCTGTCAAGACAGCACTTACAGAAGATTTTCAAGCAATTATGCAACGAACAACAGCAGGCTTTTGAATGCTGAGCGATTGCAAATTAATCGTGGAATATCATAGAATCACCAACGAGCCATTTGCGAAGCAGTGATGTGCCCATGATTTCAATGTCTCTTCACCTGAATGTCTGTCTATATAAACATGATTCGGCATTCAAAATGCAAGCCCTCAAATATCCTCGCATAAAGCCAAATTGTCAGTCGAGACTCGAGAGTCGGGATATCCGTGAAGCCTGAAACGGTGTACAGTTTTTGAAGAACTCAAGTGTGGCCCATAACCCATTCATGGCTCTCTTAGGACCGGCCCTCGGGGAATTCTGCAAGTCTTGCGCTGTGGCCGACCCGCGGGTGCAGAATCAGGTCAGCACCGCAATCTCCTTCCTCAACGATTGCAACGACGAAGTTTGCGTCACGGACCTCTCCATCTTCGCCACATGGAGTGACCTCAAGTAAATGAAAGCCCAGACATATCCGTTTCCCCCCCTCCAACTTCCCGACTGTTCCGAGAAAAAAGCCACCTCGATAAAGTGTTACCAAAAAATAAAACGAACCAAATTCGACATTAAAAAACAACAGGTGCAATCCAGTAGTGGATATTCCATTCACGCGATTATGCATTCGAAACCTCTCCATATTTTCCCCGCAAAAATAAAATTCACTTGTGCAGACGAATGTGGGTTATAAAAAACCACTTGCTTCGAAGTATGCTAAAAATGCATTATCCAGGATGTGCGAAGAAGTGGATTCACTTCTCAAATTGAGGAACTCTGCTGAAATTCAGAAAATTCCAATTTAAAATATTATGAATACCTCCCATTATTGTTTTTTCAATCTAAAATAACCTGAAAAGCATCACTTTGATTACCATTTCAATTTCAGAACAGCATCCGGAATCATAGGTGCAAGAATTATTTTCACATATTCCATTCGAAAAAATAGATTATGTCTATTAATTCAAAAATAGGCGATCAAACAGTCCTCGGCTTTGGGCGGATTTTCGATGAATTTAGACGAAGCCGCAAATTTGTATGGAACGCAACTGAAAACAAGATTTCGAGGAATTATTTATTCTGAGATGAAAATCTGATTTAAATCTGAGTTAAAATCATATAAACATGTGGTGAATATAGGACTCAATTTACGCATCTTTTCCCACGAAGAATTCGAAAAATGTGGGACGCATGAATGCTTCAGCAG